CATCTTGAAGGATACCCAAGTATTTGTAGTAATCTTCCTCATCCAGACTCTTAATGTTATTTTCATGGGGCATCTTGATTCTTTCAGTTTTCACTATTGTTCCTTGTTTGACAGTAAGTGTGGCACATTTGTCTAAGCCAAACTCCACTGCAATATCTTGGCTATATATACAGACAGTGTTCAGCAGTGATTCTATTTCAGATGATGTTTTTCCATACAGCTTCAGATCATCCATGTAAAGGAGGGATAGTCTGGCAGATATTTTTGATGTTTGATAGCCATGTCCCGAGTTATTCAGTATTGTTGACAGAGGAAACAGTGCAATAACAAATAGTAATGGTGATAATAAATCTCCTTGAAATATTCCTCTCTTGATATTAACCTTTCCCAGTCTTTCACCATTGACCTGCAACTGTGTCTTCCATTGTGCCATCAATCTTTGCACAAATTTTCTGATGTTTCTAGTGACTCCTGATTTTTCTAGGCACTTGATTATCCGGTCATGTGGCAGAGAGTCAAATGCCTTGCAGTTTTCCAAGATCATTTTGTTGATCTTTTGTTCCTCCGCTATTGAGGCGGTTCCCTTTCTGCTCGGGTGAAAAGTGATTGTTTTCAACTAGATGCTGTTGTACTGCAATCAACTATCACACAGTTAGCAATTTGAAAGTTGTTGATAAGCAGGTAATTGGCCTGTAGTTGCCTGGTATTGCCCCTTTTGCTGGATTTTTCATTATTAGGTAGGTTTTCCCAGTTGTTAGCTACTTTTCCATTTCTCCTCCTTGTAGTATATGGTTGAACTGCTTGGCAATGAGTGGGTATATAACAGTTAGATGTTTCAACCAAAACCCATGCTGTTCATCTTCACCTGGTGCTGACCAATTTTTGATCTTCCTTGCTCTTTTTTCTACTATTTTTGTTGTTATTACTAGTTCTTTCATTTCAACTTCTGTTTTATTTGTATCCACCTCTTTTAAACAAGCTGCATCCTAGTTGTGTTTCTTTGGGTTATCCCATATCTGCTTCCAGAACTGCACTGTTTCTTCCTTGTCAGGTACTGACTGATTCATTGCAGTTTCTCCATTGATGGATTGGTAGAAACGTTTCTGATTGGATTGAAATTGGAGATTCTGCCTATAATTTGCAATTCGAGCTTCATATCTACTGATTTTCCTGGCTATAGCTGTTATTTGCTACTTTATTATTTCCAGCACTTCCTTGATCTTCCTTGTTTCTAAGTGGTATTTCTTGATTAGGTATTCTTTGGTGTTCTTGTTCTTCAGCTTCTTTTCTTTCATCTGTTCTAGTTTGCTTGCATGTGATCTTAACTTGCTGATCTTATTTTCTAGTCTAACCTTCCATTTTTGTGGAAGGTTTGTTTGTTTTTCTTCTTTGTTGATTTTGCATCTCAAGTATTCAGTTAACTGCAGCTGTGCTGTACATTAATTGGTTTGTTTCTTGCAATGAATTGGTGCTTATACTTGATATTACAGTATTTGCATCTCTTAATGCTTGTGCTATCTGTTTCTTTGGAACAAGCTTCAACGCAGGCAGCCTTATTCTGTTCTTTTTGTGCTGTTTTAGATGGTCAGTTATTCTTTGTTTCAATTCTTTTATTTCTTTAGTTAGAGAGCTTTGTTCTTCCTAAGGAAAAGGTACCTGGTTTCCCAATGAGAACAGTTGTATACAGTGTTTTTTTTCTAAAAAAAGAAAAAAGAAAAAGAAAAAAAGGTGCCAGAACTCACACACGTCATACAACCTGCCTTGCCTATCCTACAAGGTTCCATCCAAAAAAGGTGCCGAAACTCCGTTCTGGATGTTCTATGAGAAAAAAAAGCCCTGGTTGTATATCTCTGCTGGATTGCTTCACTGCCAATTCCCCCTGGTTTGCCTCTACGTTCTGAATTACTTCTGGCAAGGCTTTGATTTCTTTGCCCTGGGTAAACCTTTGCAGTTTGTCCAATTCTGTTTCTGTGAATACTTTATTTCGTATTATAAATCAGCATTTATCTGCTAGTCTCTGTTCTGTTATTTCTGATTCTGGATGTTGTTCTTTCCAGAACTGGTGCATTCCTTATAGATATCCTCTTCTTGTTGGACTTGATCTGTAATAATAGATCATTATTTCTTTGTTTTCAATCACTGTGTATTTGTGATGGGTAAACACCTTTTCTTCCAGTAGTTCTGTAGCTCAGCCAACAGTCCTGAGTCCTGTAACCCATTTTTCACCAGATATCCAGGAGCTTTAACATCTAGCGCGGACCTTGTTAACCCGGGCGACATCCGAGCCAATATGGCATTCTGAAATTTACGTCTCACCATATTTTTTATGGGAGAGACACTCTTTGTCTGACTCCTCTGATGACTCTTCTGTATGGTTGAACCTCTGGCATAACTCTCATCTTCCTCAGAGTACACAAGCCCCACAACCACGTAAAGGTAGTGCCTCACTGAGGGATTATTATTATCAATCATCGCACAGTCAGCCAGATGTTCAGACTGGATTTGGCATTTTGTCTACCTATCGAGTCCTTACCCAGGACCTGGGATAGGCAGATGTGGATGTTTGATGGTATTACAGATATCGTCGCAGTTCCTAATAAGGCCGCCTTTTGCAATTGACTAATAGCGAATTTGTCAATGCCAATGGTGTTCAAGTGGTGCTCCAGTTGTTTTGGGATTGCACCCAAAGAGCCTATGACTATTGGTACTACCCTTGCTTGCTTTTGCCACAGTCTTTCTATTACTATTTGTAGGTCTTTGTATTTTGTTATCTTCTCCAGTTCTTTCTCTTCTATTCTGCTATCTCCAGGCACTGCCACGTCCACTATCCAGACTTTTTTGTCTTTCTTATCGACAATTGTTAAGTCTGGGGTGTTATGTTGCAGGTGCTTGTCTGTTTGAATTCTGAAGTCTCACTGAAGGATTATTATTATTATTATTATTATTATTATTATTACTATTATTATTATTATCAGTAGAAATATCACAAAAGAGCAATGTAAGCCCTTGATTTGAAAACTTTGTCATGGCAGAGCTTATTTCCAACTATCTCTCCCTTATGGAAATTTTATAAATATTTTCAATAACTAAACACAAGGATAGCAGACACTTCTGTTAAAATTTAAATGTGTTACTGGGACATATAAGAGAGAATATAGAAAATAATATGGAAGAGCATGGAACCCCTCTCTCATAAACTGATTTCATTTCAACATTCCAGCCTTTTCATATAATTTCACTATGCAAGCTCAGCAATTAGTAAAGCCCCATGGCTATAATGATGACAAAGCTGTCTTGTTTTCTGAAGGCTTACAAAGGTGGCTGTCAGGGGAAGAGTCCAGTACTTTGCTCCACCTGTTCTAAAATAGAGGTTTGCAACTGTAGTATAGTAATAATTGCTGATATTCTATGTGGTGTAAATATCAAACTCCTATTTGGAGATTAACACTAGCCTCAAGTTTCCATAATTTCCACTACTTTTCTTTCTGTAATGTTACTGTATATGGCAGTGCTATGCTGTGATTAGTAAGTATAGTGATCTTATACACAATAATTCAAACCTTAACATAGTTTTTCTGCAGAAATAATATCTGCTTGCAATAATGCATGTATTTCAGCTGCTTGGTTATGAATCGTCCAATACCTCCTACAGTATATTTAGTGTCTATGATTTATGAGGTATTCACAAAACTGATAAGAGAAAATTAAAGAAAATGGATAAATATTACCACAATTTCAAAGCCCTTCAATAAGAAATATTTAAAATCCTACTATTATTATTTTTGCAATAACCTAAACAAATGGAAGTAAATGTTCAATCTACATCTGAAACATAATTTTTCATTAGATTTTATGGAATATGGATACTACTTCTCTTATCTCTTTTATATCTCTTTTAAAATTTCATATTAGATTTTGAGCAATAATGTTCAAGTCATTCCAACTGAGATAATATAATAACTCAAGCTGAAATCGCATATATCAGAAACTCTGAAGTTTAGAGTCTTATATTTTACCTTACTCATCTGTGATGCTGAGTTGTTTTGTTCCTATTGTTGGCTTCCTACAAGGTTGACTTTCTTAGCTTAAATTCATTTTTATGCCATGGAAATATATGTTTCTATTTGTATGCACCTTTCACATACACACACAAACAAAAACACACACACAATTGATATGAATGTGATAGACGCAATGTGCTAACTGCTGAAATAATATGATGTTCTTCGAATATTTTGGACTTCAACTCTCATAAACATAGCGCTTGTAGGAATTCTACTATATTTTGAGGATCACCAAACCTTGGAAGTCATCATGTTTCCCATCTTTCTATTACACACACTGTTGATTTTACTCCTTAATTGTAATCTTATCATTTCTTCACTCACTTATCCACCAAACATGATGGAATGTATAAGTTTAGGAATAGCATTTGAGGGTAATATGAACAATTAGAACTACTTTCTTCTGATTATAAGAACAATATGGACATGATAGAAGCTGACCTTTACGAAGTATTTGATAAGTACCGGTACCCTATGCCATCTTGGGGCTGGATATCATAACTATTATGTGGACTCACAATTGGCTTGAAAGCATAATGAAATTTTGATTATCAATAGGTCCTTATCAAAGTTCAACAAATAAGACAAGTATCACAGGAATCATCCCTGAACTCAGATCTCAGTCATTTTTATTTATGACTTGAACCATAAGGTGGAAGGAATTCCTCTAAAAATTGTAAGAGGTAGCTAATTCTGTTGTTGTTGTTGTTAATTGCGAAGTCGTGTCCGACCCATCGCGACCCCATGGACAACGTTCCTCCAGGTCTTCCTGTCCTCTACCATCTTCTGGAGTCCATTTAAATTCACACCTACTGCTTCAGTGACTCCATCCAGCCATCTCATTCTCTGTTGTCCCCTTCTTCTATTGCCCTCAATCTTTCCCAGCATTAGGCTCTTCTCCAGTGAATCCTTCCTTCCTCATTAGGTGGCCAAAGTACTTGAGTTTCAACTTCAGGATCTGGCCTTCTAAGGAGCAGTCGGGGTTGATCTCTTCTAGGACTGACCGGTTTGAACGCCTTGCAGTCCAAGGGACTCGCAGGAGTCTTCTCCAGCACCAAGCTAATTCTGTAGAAGACTGAAATTCAGACAAATTTTTATAGACAAAATGTCCATAGAATAAACAATTCCTGTTTCAGCAATAGCATATGTGAAAATTTCTTGAACTGTAAATAACCACAGACTAAATATGAATCTGAATTGTTATTTGGCTATAAAAAGATATACAATTTTACTTCTATTAATAGAAGAACAGTTTCTAATCATGGAAGAATTAGTTTCATTGTATTCTGCTTTGGCACACACCAAGTATTATGTGCAACATACTTTCAGGGAAATGAATAAGTACAAAAAAGAGCAATAAAAATAATCAGGAAAAATTTCTTTCAAGGAGAAATTGAGGAAGCTTGTTTAAAACTTTGAAAAAATATGACTACAAAGAAACATAACTTCTGATACACATGAAGATGATTTCTACTATCCCAAAGTGCCTCAGACAAATAATGATAGAAAAATGATAGTGGTTACAATTGGCAGATTTCAACCCTAAAATAGTGGAATACCTAATAGTACTAGATATCTGGATTCTGGATTCTTCCACTGAATAGAAGATTCAATTTTAATACCTAAACAGACTTTAGTACTATAATCAATAGGACTGAGAACATAGATTGCATTAAGCCATTATTTGTTTAACCATAAGCATAAGCCAGGGCAAAAAATAGATAAATATTGCAAAACTAATTTACAGTTATAAAGTAATAGCATGACTGTATGCCCAGTACGTGCTGCTGTTCATATTTGTATTTGTGTTTTTTTATTACTCAAGTTTCTTCCTAGCTTTTGGAAGCAATGATGAAAGAGCTGCATTATTTCCTGATGGGTGTAAGCTTATTCTGGGTATAAATGTTGGCAAAGTAAAAGCAAACCTAGGAGAAAAGACTAGATGGAGCATATTGCTCAAATAATTAAAACATATAGCTAAACATATTTCTAGGTTGGTGAGTTAAATATGTTTGATTTAAAGCCCATATTTGATTTAAGGTTGTCAGAAGGTAGGGCGAGATTTCATAATTGCCAAGATTATTGATTTTCTAGTGACAGAAAACTAGCTACTCTGAGTGAGACACTAGGTAGATGGAGCTGCAATTCTCTAGTTTGAAAATTTCTGGTCTTCTGATGCAGATTCCTTCTTCTTCCAGGAAATATTCTCTCACTATTGCATGCTGCTTTCCTGCTACAAGATAAGTGTCATCTCACTAATTGTCTTTTGCATTTTATTTCCCAGCAGCTAAGTGATCAATGTGGTCAACCATTTTTTGCAAGGGACTGCACCTGTTTTCACCTAGGGAAAAATTTAATATTTAGCTGTAGATTGCCTTTCCATACTATATAAGACTACAGGCTTCAAAAACATTTCTTAATAATTATGAACATATCACCAAACATACTAAAATACTATTGAAAACAATTCTTTTGAACCCTGGAGTCATGCAGTAATGAGTAGAGCAAAAATCTAAAAGAATATGAAAATAATTTACTAATAGGACTGATCTGAACATAAAATTAAAGATATTAAGGCCATTAGTGAATGGGTGCATTATGTCTTTCAAAGTTAAAGACATAAAAGTTAAAAAGATAGTAAATTTTAAAATGAAGGAAATGACAAAGTGATTCCCCTCCCCTTTCTTCTTTCATCTAAACAGGAAGAATAATATATCTTGCCAACATTGGAAGCAGCAACTTAGCTTAGCTACTCGCTCAGTAGAATAGCAGAATTCTTCTGACAAAGGTGCCCTGTAGGAATAGCTATGCCTTGCCATGGCATCAATCTCTTCCATTAGATATGAGGAGCCAGAAAAAACAGGATCAAACAGCAGATGGGTAGGTTTCACTGAGCAGCCAAGAAAGACTTTGCAAAGGTAAACACTGCAAGCAGGCTTAAAGACAGCATTGCTCTAGTTACAAGGCAGAAGAATTCTTGTGCCTTTTTGTTCCACTGAATGTTGTTCAGTTTGATTATACTCTTTCAAAGGAAAAAAATAATTTTGGAAAAGTTCTTTTGGAGAAGTGAGGTGTTCTTGCATTCACTTCATGTTGAAATATTCAAAGGATATACAGTAGACTAATGTTCTGTCTTTCACTATACCATCATCTTGCCACTGGATTTTCATGCTTTTAACTCCTCCAGTTGGACTTTTATATAGTAGGGCTGTGATCATTGAAGGTCATATCCTTTAGAAATTATTAGAGAAAACAGTGGGGAAAATGTCTATCTAATAATTTTGTCTTCAAGTTGTTAAAGAATTTGGGAAAGCTGTGGGTTTCCAACTTTATTTGCTATTTGTATGAATGACCACATTCATCTTCTTCCCCCACACCTAAGAATGTACAGTATCTTTGGGAGAGATATTAAAGAGGTTTATTGATGACCTGAAAGATGGTGTGTGGAAATCCTGGAAATACCAATCATCTTCGGTGTTAGCTTCTGCTACCACTACGTCCTTCTCCTGCCTCAGATGGAAACAAACAACAAACAAACAGGGCAGTTACTCTGCAGGTACCTTGCATTCTTTTAATGAGTATCTAAACTGAACATCTGCAAATGCCATAAGGTTTGGTGTGTATTCATTTGGAACACCTATAACAGCTTAGTCCTTTTTAAATAAAGAGTGCCATGCTTAAGATGCCAAGCACCTTATCAATGCCCTCATAACACAGCAACTGAAACTCATCCAACAATCATCTGAAAGTATCCAAAGCACTGTGAAAATGTGATATTACCCTCAAAGGGTAATGTGTCTCTGAGGATAATCTGAATATCGCATTGGCAGTGAGATGAGGAAAGGAAAGTCCTGCTAAATGGCACGAAAACACATGGCAGCATGGTTTCTTCAGCAACTATAGACAGTAAAATTTGTCATAGCTCAGTTTTCAACATCCTAGCTGCATTATTGTATTGAGTGCCTTTTAAACAAGAGCAATCTGCATATTCACCAAGTCATCTGATTGCCATGCAACAGGTAATGATTGTTCAAGGTAATCCAAGATTCCATCGAAATATACCTGCCTTTAGGATTACATCATTCTAATTGCCTCTTCCCATCCTGCAAAAGAAAGAAGCCATGGTAATGCTGGGCTGTATATAAAAAAAAGGCAAAAAAAAAGGCAAAATATGAGATGCAGTGGGAAGGAGGTTTTCCTACACTATGGATCCTCCTACATGTTTCAGGGGATGTCTCCCTCTTGTCGTCTTGCACAGCTTCAACCCCATTTCCTCATTTCAGCTCTAATGTAAGAGGTTCAAATATGTAAAACATGATGGTAAGTACTGTATACAGAAGGGGGAATGATTGCATGTTGTTGAAATACTACATAATTTGCAAGCTACCAATCATATGTTTAAAAATAGGTCATCTAACAACTCCTAGATGAGGGATGGTAGGATTATGCTATGAAGTCAGAATTTCTCTCCTGGTGTCATCCATTTCCCCTGTGCTAGTCAGCTGCAGGCAATCTACTTTGAAACATAGATTTAGCACTCTTTAGAACAGGGGTGTCAAACTGCCGGCCCACAGGCCAGTTTCATTATACTGGAGCCGCACCACCCCATTGCCGGCAATGGCGAAAAAGCTCCGATATGTTGCGTGACGTCACATGACATTGTGAGTTTGACATGTCTGCTTTAGAAAGAGGAATGTTTAAAAATACCCCTCTCTCAGCTGAACAAAATTAGGATAGTACCATTAAGTGGTAATCTCTTCCTATTGTACCTGGCAGCCATTTCACTTAATCCATCAGCTGTTAATCAGTCTGGTTCTTCTGTCAAAGCTAGATCTCCAAGCTTAATTGGCACTGAATCTTGGTAGGTACAGAACAAAGTTGGGTTTCAAAAAAAAATGAACTACGAAGACAGTGCCTAGGGATTAGAATGATAGGGGCTGGCATTGGCGTAAAGAGTCAAGAGGAATTGGACAAATCCCATTTCTTGGTACCATCATAATACACCATCCATGGAGGATGCATCCAAAACCAAACAAAAATGTGACAAGCAGAGGAACATGAATTTAACAGCTCTATAACTAATCATGATCTAAAGTTGCCTCAGATATGGCTAAGGATCGGTGAAGGCAATATCATGAAGACATAGCAAAAATAAAAAAAAGAGGCTACTGGGACATGTCTGGGCATAGATACATACAGATAGGAACTTATTTCCAAAGACTTCTAACAATACATTCTTTTTTCTATTTCTTTAAAGAAATCAAAGAGCAGATGTAGCAAAATAATTTATCAACTGACAATAAATCTATACAATAAAAATAAGCAGAACAGTTTATTCAATAATATTAAGCTACTTTCCACCAATGTAGGCATCTGCAAATATCTGAGGCACACAGTTAATTCTATCATGTAACAATAAAACAATGTTAAACATTTGTTCCCAATATTATTGATCATGCTGTAGAATTAATCATTTCCAGTTGTGAAGTTCTGGACCCTTTCAAGAATTCAACAGATTTTACAGCTGAAAGATGAGGCTAAGATAGGGGTCTAGCTTAATGTGTCTTAATTTCAGCAATTTTAAGAGATCTTAAAAATTGCTGAAGTTGAGAAACTTGTGGTGAAAAGCCCAATAAGTTTAGAGATCTATCTTGATTAATACATTTAAACTGTTCCAAAGGTACCTTTTAAAAAGAAAACTGGACTTCATTGAGTTTTTTTCCCTTGAAAACATTTCATTTCTCATTTGCTTCTTGAATTAAAAGCAAAATGTTTTCAAGGAAAAAAACTAAGAAAGTCCAGTTGCCTTTTGGAAATGCACCTTTGGGACAACCAGGACTTGGTTGATTAAAAATTTCCATAAATATTTAGATGTAGATTAGTCTTTCATCTCAGACTTTGAACAATGATGGCTCATTCCTGTTATCCCAATAAACAGATATGTAAGGTGCAAAAGAATCTAATTTACTGAACATCATTGAGACAGCTACTGCCCATAGTAAATACTGTGTAGTAAAGACATACCCATACAGGGAAAGGGTAACTTGTTGAACTGGTGCAACATTGAAATATTGAAAACAAAATGGTTGCCACAGTCAGCATGGAAATTATAAAACCTTATTTATAAAATGGCAAATTTATTAGGTTGCTCCTCACTATTTCCTAGGATGCATCCTATTCAACCTTTTCTTTTGAGGGTCACATTTCCAAATAAAGTACTAAACCAGACTTCCCCAGCCTTTCCAGATTGGTGGTCCGGGGGCGGAGGGGGGAGAGGGATGGTTTTGTGGAAAGGGCAGGCGGGCCCATGTGCACACACACGAGCACCTGTTGCTTGCATGAGTGAGGCCAAGAGCTTCATCTACTTAACACACTTTTCTGAGAGCCTGTAAGAAGAAAATAGATCACCTTATAAAGTAGATTGAACTTAAAGCCATAGGAAAGGGTGCACTGATTCTTCAATGAGCTTCCTTGATTTGGAGTTGCCCATGGTCGCATCTGATCACAGAACATATTCAGGCCAAGCCATTTTGAAGCTCCTCCATTAGTTACAATCAATGAAGCCCTAAAGAAAGCCCAAAGGGAGAATGTTTAAAATGGTGCACAATTTTGTGAATGTCTATTGCATTAGAAGGGTAGTCACATCTTCATATCCCAATGAAATACAGTGTGAACCAAGTTTCAATTTTAAAATACTGCTTTTTATCTCAAGCAAATAGTGATTTTTACTTCATCCAACACAACACATGATTGATATAAGTAACTTATCTAGATCATCCTATATTATTGTATTTCCTTCTAACTTTATGAGTTACTTGTGCCTAATCTCTATAGTTGTAGTTTCCAGCATTTACTTCTGATCAGGTCTATAGTGTAAAAAAAAATATGTTAGTCATGCCTTTATCTGTCTGTCAATGCTGCAAATACTGTATATTCTTGCTTTGACAATATGCAAAACTGTCTGGCATTTATTGGGTTAATACTTAGCTTAGACTGGGCGGGGGGAAAAAGCCCGGGAAAGAAAGAGGAAGTAAACATTTGACCTTCTCACTAATTGGATAATGTGACCTGTGACTGCATGAGAAGGGAGGGGTTGAGCAAGGAAAGCTTGATGCCAGCGACCGGAAGTTCAGATTCTGGCATCAATTAGTCCAATGGTGACCGGCATAATTTGTAGCTCTGCAAATAAAGACTTTAGGAAACATGCCTGAAAGTTCTTTGAAGTGCTTCATTAGTCGGAACTTGTGACATCATGCCAGAATCCGCCCTCTTTTCAAACGATCTACGTCCCGATTTATCAACAGCAGCCTCGGGGGAGATCTCATTATGGAGAAAAAAAAAATTGCCTGAAACCACCCCCGTAGCTGTAACAGTTTCCCCAGGGGGGAAAGCGACAGCCAGCAAGTCGGGGGAGAGAGAAATTTGGCAGATTTCCCAGCTGAGAGCGAAGACTTCAAAAGCAGAATGGACAGATAACACAGTTATGGGTGAGTCGTTGGAAAGATTTCAAAACTTAGAAATGAGAAACAGAAAACAGTTCCTACAAAGTGAAACCTTCATCCCTAAGAGAGAGAATCCCAGTTTGAATCCTCTGCAGCAAAGGGGAAATTGGGTTCCCCAGCAAGTGGCTGATCCATGTCCTCTGAACTTACCACAGCCAATAGAGGCCTTGCAATGTCTTGGGGTGGTACAGAAGCCAGGAAATCAGCAGCTGGGGGGAGAACAGCCACAGCAAGGAGGTTGGCCACAGCCCCCAAACGTGCAACCCCTGGGCATAACTCTGCAGCCAGGTTGGGGCCTACAGCAACTGGGGTGGCCACAGGAGCAGTGGGGAGCCCAGCAGGAAGCCTGTCAGACCCTGCCTTTGCCAGTCAGAGACCCCAACCCTGAAGAGAGGGTGAGTTCCAGTCTGAGGCATCTGCAGCAATGGGTAGATGGGTTTCCCCAGCAGATGAATGATCAGCAGCAGCAGAGGGCACCACCACCCCCTGCAGTCCAACAACAGAGAAGACCACTACAACCCCCACTTGCGCAGCCACCATTGGGAGGCCTACAGCAGCAGGGGGTACCATCCAACCCCGCTGGCCAGCAGCAGAGGGCCCAGCAGCCATGGAACCAGCCCCAGTGGGCGCCACAGCAGCCTGTGTTTGCACCACCCTTCAATGCAACGTTCGATGGGGACCCAGAGAAGCTGATTTTTTTCCTCAACCAAGTGCGTTCTCATTTAAATCGCTGGGCCTATCTCTATCCGGAACCAGGGGCCATGGTTGACGTCGTTGGGGCCAACCTGGAGGGAGAAGCATCTGAATGGCTGAACAATGTATATAGCGAGCAAGCCCTCGAATTGGAGGATCCCCATCTCTTTCTCTTAGGACTGAGAGAACGATTTGAAGACCCATCCATCGGCCTCAAAGCAGCAGGACAAATTCACAAAATAAAACAAGCAGGGAGGCCTGCCCTGGAGTACGTGCGAGAGTTCCGCAAGATGGCAGGTCGAATAGAGGGGTGGCCTGAGCAGTCCCTCATCCATCACTTCATTGAGGGATTAGATGATCACCTCTCCCAGGCTTGCATCTATCGAGAAGTACCTGATCGGCTGCAGGAGTGGTACCAGACGGCCGTGAAGCTGGATGTTAAGCTCTCTCGCTATAAAAAGCCTCCCCCACAGGAACCCGAACAGCAACCAGAGCTACCTGAACAGCAATCACCCCCACGAAAGCCTTCAACCACTGCGAGGGCTGAGAGAACCAGGCCACTTGCACGCCCTTCCTTCGGGTGTTTCCAGTGTGGACAAGGAAGACACCGAGCAGCCACCTGTCCAGTCCCCTACCCTCGACTGCAGAGCAAGCCAGGACCGGCGAGGCAAAAGAAACCTGCTCAGCGGCCAACAAGAGAAAAATCCAATCGACTCACGCAAGAACCAGTTGCCCAGGTTACACCCCACACACAGGAGGATGCCAAGACTCCAGGTGGACCTGCCCCTGCTCTTCCCTTCTTTGATAGCAACGATGAAGGAGAAAACGACCCAATGGTGAGTCAACAAATCCCGCCTTTTTCACTGCCCGCCAAACTTGTAATCCCTACGTCTGGAGCACAAATAGACTTAAACGTACTAATTGATTCGGGATGTACCCTCTGCATTATTAGTCTGGCGTTTGCCATGAAAATGGGCATAAGGGCAAAACAGCTTTCCAAACCGATGAGATTTGAGCAAGCCGATGGCTCCCTGATGGGAGGGACTCTTATTACACAATTAACTGAGCCTTTACGCCTAGAAATAGGTGCACACTGGGAGTTTATTCGTTTCCTGGTGGCTCCAAAGATGACCGAGGCAGTGATCCTAGGACTAGCCTGGTTGGACAAATGGAAGCCATTTATCTGGTGGGAGAAAGGAATGAGAATTGTGAGACTACCTATAGGCCCTGATCCCCCCATTGATTCAACAGATGTTACTGGGCATTTTAGGCCACCCAATGAGGAGCGCACATGGCCGCCTCACTGACCCCAGGTGAACAGTCATCCCCAAAGAGTATCTGGACCTGGCGGAGGTGTTCAGTGAAAAAGAATGTGATGCCCTACCCCCTCACAGACCCAATGACTGCTCCATCGAACTGGTGCCCGGAGCCAAACTCCCACGTCCAAGGATGTATGCTATGTCCCCCCTCGAAATGGAGGAGATGCAGTGATATGTGAACAAGAACCTAGCGAGGGGGTTTATTGAACGGGCCAAATCTTCCGTGGGAGCCCCTGTGTTGTTCAAAGAGAAAAAAGATGGGTCTCTTCATCTCTGTGTAGACTACAAGGGACTCAATGCTGTAAGTGTGGAAAATAAATACCCCCTCCCCCTCCTAAAGGATTTATTGACCCACCTGGCTAAGGGGAGTGTCTTCACTAAGTTAGACCTAAGAGAGGCATACTACCGGGTGAGAATAAAAGAGGGAGACGAGTGGAAAACTGCCTTCAACTGTCCCTATGGGGAGCTATCAGTTCAAAGTCATGCCATTTGGACTACAGGGGGCCCCAGCTGTATTTATGCAGTTGATTAATGAGGTTCTACATGATCACTTGTACAAAGGGGTTTTGGTGTATCTTGATGATATCCTGATATACAGCACAAACATGAATGATCACATAAAGCTAGTGAGAGAAGTGTTAAAGAAACTATTGAATGCCAAGCTTTATGTCAAATTGTCAAAATGTGAATTTCACCAAACCCAATTAGACTATCTTGGCTATCGAATTTCCAATGAGGGTATTGAAATGGATCCGGCCAAGGTAAAAACTATAATTGAATGGCAACCCCCAAGGACTCGCAAACAGCTCCAAAGCTTTCTGGGTTTTGCCAACTTTTATCGTCAATTCATCCCTTCTTTTGCCGAGATTGCCCTTCCTCTTACAGAACTACTCAAAACAGGCAAAGGAGGAGGGAAGCCACGACCGGGCCAACCACTAGCATGGACAATGAGCTGTCAAACAGCTTTTGAGAATTTAAAGAGACTATTTGCCGCTGAACCAGTTCTAAAGCACCCCTGCCCAGGGGAACCCTTTGTGATTCAAGCCGACGCCAGCGATGTGGCGGTTGGAGCAGTGTTACTTCAAAAGAACAAAAATGGGATCCTGCAACCCTGTGCCTACACCTCTAAGAAATTCACGGAGAGCGAGCGAAGATGGGCAATCTGGGAGAAAGAGGCCTTCGCAATTAGGTGGGCGCTATTGAACTGGCGACACTATCTAGAAGGGAGCAAGGTGCCATTTGAGGTATGGACTGATCACAAGAACCTAGAGGCACTGAAAACTCCTCGCAAATTGTCACCAAAGCAAGTACGGTGGGCACAGTACTTTAACCGCTTCAACTTCACTCTAAAGTACATACCAGGAGGAAAGAACTTTCTAGCTGATGCGCTATCCCGTTACCCCAGTACAAAAGTGAGCGAGAGCAGGTTAACGAGGCAATTATTCCCAATCCACAAACTGTCACTCAACTTACACCTCGCAGGGTCCCCAATCCGGATGACCCTGGAGTGAAGAAAATAAAACGAGAGCTCCTCACTGACCAATGGTTCAAAGATAATCAAGCGTCCCTAACATGCAGGGATGGCTTGGCTTACAAAGGGGGGAAGTTATATTTGCCAGAAGCGCTCCGTCTAAATGCTCTCAACCACAGCCACGATGTAAAGCAGGCTGGACACTTCGGATATTTGAAAACCCTACACCTCACCCGCCGGCAATTCTGGTGGCCGGGGCTGAAAAAGGATGTGGAAAACTATGTAAAAAGTTGTACAGTATGTGCTACAATGAAAAGAATCCCGGGGAAAACTCCTGGGTTACTGCAACCCGTGGCAGACCCTTCTCAACCCTGGGAAAAAGTAGCTATGGATTTTATAGTGGACCTACCTGAAAGTAAGGGAAATACTGTCATTTGGACTGTGATAGACCTGTTCTCGAAACAAGCTCATTTCATCGCCTGAAAAGGACTCCCATCCGCCCAACGCCTGGCCAAATTGTTCCTGAAACATCTACCGGCTGCATGGTGCCCCTAAGCGAATAATCTCAGACAGGGGGGTG